ATTCTGCTTTTGCCTGCTGAATGCTGATTTGGGAACTAGACATTCCACACTTATTTCTCATTTGTTGATCTGAATGACCACAAAGTAAATTAGTCTTAAAACAAAGGAAACTATTAAGCTAGAACTTTGGAGGAAAACTGTAATTCAAGCAAAAGAGAAAGTCAACAGAATTTCTCAAAACTGTAATCCCATTGTTAAAGTAGGCATTTAAGATAGCACAGCAAAATAGCATCAGGCAATATGAAACTATAACTTTATTATTTGAAAGATGCACAACCCGAACTAGCACCAGTGTTACATCAATATTCTAGCATTACACAGGACACCAGTCTTTCACATGGTTTAGCACCACTCTAGCCAGGCTCCATTGTCATTCTGTCCTCCCTTCCCTGTGCTCTCAGCCTTCCCAGCTTCTTCCAAGAACTGGCACAGTGCTTTAGTACAGGACTTTTCCCCATTTTAATAGGGAGCTGGAAGAAGGCCACATTCCCCCTGTTCTCCTGCAATCATACAGGGTCAATGAACCTTCAGGAAGGCATAAACAAGAACTGTACTGGGACAAGATGTCCCATTAATAGGGATCTGGGGCACAGACAGGAGCAGCAGTCACTAGAGCTCATCTTTTATTACAGTCTTTATCATTTGAAAAAAAAGCCCTCACAAGGCAAGTTTCAGCCTCATCATTTTTTCTTCTTTCTCAAGAGTTATAAGCAATTATTTGTACTATAGGTTAGTACAAATCCAGGCCAACCACCACAGGACTTATGCTTGTCCAACAGGCTTTTAGATTACTTTGATAAGGGAGATAATTTCCAGAGTTTTTTGCCCTACAGAATCATCATCTACCATTAAAGTTTCTTCAGAGCCGCAATGCACTGTTTTTAACTGCAAAAAGATTGTTTCATACAGCCATGAAACTGTATAGTCAACATGCATGTGTTTGTGGATCAGTTTGGAAACCAACAGCATAAAGGCAACTGCAAGCACTTAGGATACTTCAGGACTGAGGAACTAATTTCAAAATTATTACCTGAACAGAAGCATCAGGCATCCCAAGAACTTTTTTTTTTTAATGCAAGATGAGCAAGAAAACAAAAGAAATTGAGTAATCTCAGTCCCACATCTCCATAAATTCAAGAACAATTAACAGAGAACTCCAAATGTACCACAAGACAGTAGGCGCATTTGGAAGATGAACCAAGAAGCAATTACTCTGAGAAAATGAGACACCAAGAACCCATGGGGAAGAAAAACAGCAACAAGTTGACATTCCATCTCAGCAGTGAGACAACACAGTATTCACAACAGGAGACAAGCTGTATTAGATCAACTTTATTATGTTATCAAAGTTTGACAATAAAATATTCAAAATCTATTGAATACATTCATACACAAAAAGAGCATATAAAATGCTAGGTCTCAGAATATGTTCCATACAAAATACTGTTAAGTGTAGAGCAGCAAAGTCATTGCCAAACATTCCCTGAATTTCACGGGGCCTTGAACACACTGTGCTCCAAGAACTACCTTAATACCAAACATTCCTTCCTTTGGTCTGCAAGTCCTTTGCAATTATTGCTAGTTATTGAAGCCTTCTGTTTTTAAACAGAATCACATAGTGACTCTGAACCTCTTCAGAAGTATTACAATGACAGCTGAAAGCTTCTTCAGCATTTTCTATACACTTTGTCAAAAATAAGAAACACATTTGGTCCCCAAGACTATTTTTGGTTTCTGAAAATATCCTGGAAGAATAAAACCAAGTAAGAACTATGGAAAGAGAGAGACATGATCAATATGTCTTAAGTATAACAAAGATATGTCAGTAAATTCAAACATTTCAACTGTGCAGTGTGGCAAAGCACCTGAGTTTCTCTTAAGTGCCACATTCTCCTCTCCTTAAAGATTTATTTCTTCAGACCACTCCCCCAAGAATCTAGAATACTCAAGTGCACGTGGCTCTAGCAGGCCTGTAACAGTAATGCTAAATACTCTTGCCATATAGAGGAACATGCCGTAGTGAGTAAGCACTTTCAACATGCCGAGTGAAGTGGTTCAGTTTCAACAACTAGAGTAATATAGTTTACTTGCTGCATTCACTTTTCAATGAAAAGTCCATCCTAATATGCAAGAAACTGAAAATGAAAGGGCTGAAGATGATTTGGCAGAAAAATCACAACTTTTGGATGTAAAACAGAACTATAGCCTGCAGAACGATCACACCAATCAAAATCTCACCAGAAGCACTGTGCTTGCTCTAACACAGTACTTGAACTCAGGTACACACATTCTTGCACAACAAGGCTTTGTAGTGACAAACAACATAAAAACAAACAAACAAAAAAGCCCTGAAAAAACTTTCAGCTTCATTTTACCAAGTTAACTAACACAAGCTTATTTAAACAGACACACTCTAGGGCTTGTCTACTAATGGAGAGCCGATTTACCAATCTTTAGGGTAAGAGATACAGTCAGCTGATCTCAAACAGTACTAGATTGCCAAAATTAGAAAAGAACAAGAGATTTCTTTTTTCTTTTGGTGCACAAAAAGTAGTATTAAGAAAGTAGTAAAGGAAAAAATGAATTAAAAAAAGGAAGAGCATCTTTTGGAATCATGTCTTTTAGAACTTCAAATCACAAAAACCCCTGAAGCTAAACTCTGGGTATGACACTGAAAAGGCCACCAATTAATGGGTAAGGATCTAATGAAGCTTAGAAACATTCTCCAGTTCAGGTTAAGAACTGTTTACCTATGTTCTTTTCCCATTTTTTCAGCCCTTGATGCCCATGTTGGTATAGAGCCTCCAGCTCCACTCATTCCAGTGCTTATTAACAGACATTCTACTTCAGCAAGAAATACAGATTGCGATAAGCTGTTTCCTGTAATTTCTTTCTGTTGTAAATGAGTAACATAGCAATTTATTCAAAAATTGAGTCAGACCACAGGAAGAGCTTTATCTTTGAGCAGTCTTGGAACACCAGCCTGAAGCTTGTCCAGCTGACAGCCCTGCATAAAATAGAACACTTGGCTAAAGGACTTTTTTTTTTTTTTTTGGAGGGGGGGGTTGGTAGTGTTTTTTTGTTTGTGGGGTGTTGGGGTGGGTTGTTCCCCCCCTTCCCCCATTTCAACAGTTACCAATTCCAAATGGCTTGGGGCAACTCAGTACTTACTCTGGAAAAGTCTAGGCAATATTGCTGCTGAACTGTAGGTTCCTGGACAACTGAGGACAAGATAAATGTTCCATTTTAAAAATCAGGAAAATGTGTACTCTCCCTCAACAAAAAGTAATAGGGAAAATGCAGGGAGAAATTGAAGCTACATAAGGAAGTTAAAACCTAGGAAGATATTTAGCTTATCCATGACCCTAGTTCAAGTTGTTCTGGATTTACAAGTCATTTCTGAATTAAAACTTAAAGCCTTAAACCTACCTCCTGTGCCAAAGTGTTTGCATTCCACAGTAACAAGAGTTCAAGCCTGTCATTTCAACACATCTTATTGATACGTTTAATGGCAGCAAACATTTTATGCTTGCTACCAAAATAGTTAGAAACTTTACCCTTTAGACAACTTCAGTTTCTTAAGTAATGAATCCTCAATAGTTCTGACAAGTTTCTGAAACTCTTAAAACATTTTTCTTGGAGGACCTAGCATTTTTAAAGCATTCAAAATTGTGTTTTCAGAAAACTAAGTGCAGTCTAACTGGGTGACTGGTTTTAAAGCAAGCAAAAGAGAATCTTCAGGTGAAACTATTTCTCCAACAGGACATCTGTAATCAAGGTCATTACATATAATGGCCTTTAGGCTATCATTTCTGTGGAGTTCAGAGTTGACTTTTTTTTAAACATTGAGTAAAACAATACTGTAGGAAATTAACAGAATTGCATATTCAGCAATTTATAGAAACATTTAAGGAACAGTGTATCCCAACTGCTTGAACAGCAATAATGAAACTTTTAATCTATGGGAAATGAATTTTAGTCTTAAAACAGAAAGTTTCTTTTCAGCTGAATGCAATGTTGATCCAGTCACTACTTGGTCAGTAACTGGATCAGAGCCTAAGTATTTGACTGAGAACAAGGTCTATACCTCGTACTGTATTATGCTGGCTTCCATTCCCCACCCCATTGCTGGAAGTTCACTTTTCTTTTTGAATTAAAGCCCACCATCCATTATCATTTCCACTACAGGAGATCATTTTTCACCCAGAAATGCAATTCTGCACTGTATGGATTGTTTGCCAGTATTCAATTCAATTAGCTTTAATTTATGTGCTACTCCACACAGCTACGGTTATGGCAAGCACCAGCCACTGTTTAGCTTCTTTCCCTCATTGATAAATAAAGCACAAGGTTAGAATCCCTCAGACTCCAGATTGTATGTAATCAGGTTCTACAAGTTGATGAGCAAACAATTTCTTCTTCTTTAAAAAAAAAAGAAAAACAAGATGATACCTAATAAGAAGCTTCAAGTAATTCACACATCCATCTTTTTTCCCCAAAAGCTGTAATAAAAGAAAGGCTGGATTATGACAAAGGTAGTACAGTACCAGGCAGACCTCTTCCCTATCTTACCTAGTAGATATGCACATTTACAAACTAAGGTACTGGGAACTGTGAATCAGAATATGCAAGACCCTTTAAAAAGTTTGCTGTGCTTCCCAAATTAATATCATGCCCTTGTTTTATGGGCATCTGAAATTGCAATCCTTCCTAGCCCTCCCACTCCGAACCCTGCAAAGGCCACACAAAGGAACTCAGGTATCTATGATTCTATGCAGTATGTGCCAAGGGGCCGCACAATCTCCAAACAAAAGTCTGTATGAATATTGGACACAACACCAAAGGCACCAAAACGCATATTTGACCAAATCTGCAGAATGTGAAAATACCATGAAGTATCATAAACACAAACCAGAGACAAACGATCATTTAGGACACCAAACAACTTCTTGAACACAGCCTTAAAAAAAAAAACAATGAAATAAATAATATCTAAATATCAAGGGATTAAAAAGCATTTTCCCATATTTAAGGGAAGGCATCACAGGTGAGGAAAATAACTGTCAACACAAGGTATCACAAATCAAAAAGCAGCTTTTTCACATAGGAGATAGTAGTATCATTGGATAGCATTTGAATATGTTCATTTCCTGAAAGCTCAAAGATCACCACTTCCTGTTTTTGCATGTCCACCCACTTTTGACATTGCAAGGCACTCTGTAAGTTCACTGTACCGTCCCCATCGCTGTAAAGAATCTTGGGTTCTTTGTCAGGAAAACTTTCATAATAGAAGGAATCAGGTGTTTCCACGCCAGTACCATAAAGGCAGTGTATGCGCACACCAGGCGGTGTCATCTGGTAGACCAGGGGTTCAGTGTCTTGTCTCATGAGCCAGCCATCTTCAAAATTGATGTCCCTGTAGAATTTTTGGTAATCCCGAAGAGTGTAGTTAGCTGTAGGTGTGCTTACAAAGACCTTATCTGGAGGCCATGTGTAGTTGTAGGGAAGCATCCAATTTGTGGAAACCGCTGATCTCTGCTGGTCTCTAATCTTGAGTGAACTGATAACAGGTATTCTATTATTGTCACCTTAAAAAAAAAAAATAAAGTGGAATTCCATTATACAGAAAGCAATGCATGAATCTCAACCAGCAGCAATTATTACCACGCACAGTGATAACATGAATAAAAAGATTACTCCCTTTGCTTACAGTGACAATTTGAGAAGTTTTTCCTCATCTATGATTGTCTTGACAATTAACTTCTGCAAACTAACTTCTGATAACTTACAAATTTAAATACAAGTTCACGAATGAATGACTGACAAACCAAAGAACACTTCTCGTTTTAAAGGAGAAAATATTTCCTATATTAGCCAAGAAATCAGCTTTTATTATGCGTTATTTATACTATTTGCAAGTTTTGTCTTAAACGCTCTTCTGGAAATGTGTTTTACAGTGATTCTGGTACCTAGATCATGTTTTTGCTTAAAGAACAGATAAATACTGCTAACCACACACAACTCATGAAGAGACTTTATAGTTTTGCACCTTCAAAACAAGCAGAGTAGCAGTACTTCATTCAGGATAGCTATAAAAATTACTATATGGTTTATTTACCATTTGGCATAGTGTTTTACCAGTTTATGCACTCCCTTCATAATGAAGCCTACCAGAACATGCCTACAATTGAAAGAAAATGGCAGACTCTTAATAGTTACCTAAAAAGATAACTTGTCATAAATGGTGACAGAAGCAAAGCAAGTATTACTGTCTCTGCTTATGCTATCATGTAAGAATGCTGCACTCAATCACCAATTCAGTCTCTACAGGTAGTACTTTGGCAAAAGAAAAGGTAGAGCTTGCTAGCTTCTGGTGGGAGCCATGGGAAGTTGCCAATATCAGCATCTTCCCTTCCAGTCAGCATTTCAAGACCGCTAAAATACTTGTGTTGCTCAGAACACGGGTTTTCTCTAATGTAGCACTAACATTTTCTAGCAGCTCTGGTAACCTAAAGTACATCTTTGCGGGGGGAGGGCGGCAGGGTGCGCATAGACAAAACCAACAATTCTTGAAAGACCAGTTGATAACTGCTATACTTGGGAAATGTTTTAAGGTGGCCAAGCTTTTCCGAAGCATTATATTTTCTTAATATAATATAAATCTAGAGAGCTAGAGCTTATTATCAATAAAGGTTTTAAATTATCCAATATTGAATAAACCACAAAATTGCTAAACTTTACCAAATTTAGACTTACTCTTTTTACAGAACTAGTGTTTGACCAAAATATTTCAAGAATTTTTTTGTAGATATCAAGTCCATTGTTTTCTTAGCAGTTGTTCCAAAGATGGCTCAAACTAACACATGACTAAGTTATAATTTATATGCATCTTCCTTCATATTTTAACCATTGTTCTTGCATCTTCACAAAATTAAAAGCTGCTTAATAAATGGCAGTTATAGTGATTATTAGAAACAAATTAAAAAAAGGCCCTGAGACAGATGAGTTTATATTCATGGTGACTGTCTGATCAGACCTATTTTCCATTATCACAATGGCTGGCACACCTCAATTCTTTTGTCAGCTGAACCTTGAATCAAGTTTTCCATTATTAGGTGCAGGTGGTTACAGCATAGAGTGATACAGGTCAACCACACCACAAAAATTGAAATACTGAAACCAAAACCGCTATTCCTGAAATAGCTCCAAAGTATATTTTTCAATTCCATAAGGTGGCACTATTGCTTCAGCAAGGAGACCTAAAGCACAGTCTTTAATGCTGTCTTTAGGAGGACTATATGGAGACATTGCTAGTATAAGTCTGAAACAGATAACAAGGAAATTGAAAAGAACACAGCAAGAATCACAAAGGTCCTGAAAAATGGGTTTCATATTACTGTGTGGTATAAATACTTAACTGTGCACGCTCACCACTAAGCTACTCAATACTACTTGGCAGTTTTCAGCAACGAAAGCCCGAGTTCTGAATTGAACAATGAGATGAATGTGTACAAAATTTATTTCCAGTAGAATAATCAAACACAGAACCTGCCTATTCCAGCCTTCTCTTACAGAACTGTTACAAAATGCTTATCAAATCCTTTACTTTTCTCTGAAGTGCAGAAGTACCATATGGCCAAGACCACGCTTAAGTCAGCAGGCACAAAACTCATTGACATTATAGTGAACAAAACATTAGGTCTCAGGAAGACACTGCTAGCATCTCAAGCTGACAAAAGAAAAAAACCAAACCAAAAACCAACCACCACAGTGAACTTTATCTTTGCTCACTGTAGTGGGAAGAACACCCTCACTTTATTTGCCTGGAATTGTAACGATACAAGTATTGATCCTGCAAAGCACATCAATAAGTAGCAGAAAGTATCACAGAGGGGCTAGAGAAAATAATTCCGCCTGTGTACTGTTTACCACTTTGATAACACAGCTGTGGATTTGACATGAAGTTCCTAGCCATTACCATATTATGAACAGGAATGGGAACACAAAGAATGCATTTGTAGCTTCTCTTGTCTTTCCTGCAGCAATGTATTATTTTTCTTTAAAGCAACAATTCTTCTGCATACTAACACACTGATAATGTCAATTTTAGAAACTCTTTAATTGACTAATGTAATCCAAGTGTTAAGGCCTGATGATGGTGATTTACTACAAATATTTGAGTCTGAACGAGCCTAAAAATGTGCATTCTGGTATTATGTTCTGCCCATTTAACTTTCCTACATGATTCTTAAATTTCTGCTCTGAAACACAGAGTTTAGTACAACAGACATACAGATTAAAAGATGACTACATTTTAGTAGAAATTTAACTATTTGTTATGCATTTGTATAGCTAGCCACTTTGGATGAGCTGCATTATAAGGATAAACAAGTACGAAGCACAAAAGGTTAATCCAACAGAACTCTGGGACTGTGGAATTTTGTTTAATCATGTGGAATTTTATGAAGGTGATATTAACATTGATCACTTCCTGACATTTCTGTAGCATGCCAACTTGTCAGACAAAGCCTGTGGGAAAAGGGAAATCAATTTTCACAGTGCCATTGCAATAGATTTAACAACATATAACTCAATACAAACATCCAATTTAAGTCTTCTAATTAGTAACTGAGCTGTGCACTACTATTCAGAATCAAATGCCTTTGCTAAGCAAAGTATTCTTTCATCTGTCCACGCACGGCTGGCACTTGCTGTGTGTTCTGCATTTTGATCAAGTCCAGTTTCTGATGTCAGCTTTGTTTAGGAAGAAGATAGTGATATCCAAAGCTAGCAAGTCAGAAACAAGCTAAAATAGCAAGCCAGAAACATCACAAACTAAATGCCAAAGCACATGAAATAATTATGGTATCACATGATGGGGTAAGTGAACCTTTTTCCATCAGTCATTTGCCATTACTTAGTGAAATACGTTATGCTTTATTCATTTTTTTTTTTAGTCTCAGGCATATCCAGTATGCTAAACCCAAGATCTCAAAGATTCACTTTCCTTATCTGTAGAGTTACAACTTTAGACAGGCATTTGTGCTATGGGCAACGCTTCACCAACCATGTCTGCAAGTTTCCCTTAATGTTAACCTCAAGCAGCCGTATGATCTTTAATCAAAGGAAACTACTGAATGCTCTGGAGTCCCTATTAGCTTTGCAATGCTGAACAGAGAGCAATCAGGCTGGAGGCATAAAAGCGATAGAAATAGCAGACACCAGGCCAAACAGCAGATGACAACAATCTGCTGAAAAGAGGTTAGTAGAGGTCAAGAGGGGACACAGCTCCTGGTTAAGGCATATAAAAACCTGAGTCCGCTGCCATGAACATAAAGAATGGCAGTCTGGTCACAAGGCTTGAAACATCAAGTTGCCATCACTTATGAAAAAGTTATGTTTAACTTCACAGTACCTTAAACTCTCATCCTCCAGTCTTACAGTTAAAAGTCTAGTTAGTATCTTGCACTACTAACAAAATACATTACAAACCCTCAAATTACCTACCTGAAGCCAGCACACGGAGAGTTTTAGCCACTCCTCCCCATGGAGCGCCTAATGACACATAATCCTTTATGTACTTGTCTTTCCAATCCTGACTCTGATGGTTGAGGAAGTAGAGGGTGTACATATTACCCATACTGTGGGCAATTAAGACAACAGGACTTCCATACTGCTCATACATTAACTCTATCATCTTGCGAAGGGCCACAAAATAGTCTCTGTTCTCATCTAAAAGTAAATATACACAGGTTACAGAGTTATAATTATTGTGAATGCTGAACTTCAACACAATTCCTTAAAAAGTTATTTTTTGAAACTGTCTGTGGAATTAATAATGCAGAGCTTAGAAATTCCAGTATTAAGGGGGGTGTGGGAATGTGTTTTGGTGGTGTGGGTTTTTTGTTGTTGTTTTGGTTTTAAGCAAGTCTTAAGTAGCAAGTTGTTTAAAGCAAAAAAAAAAAAACCAAAAACACCACACCACAGAGCTTTCATCTGGGTCTTTAAGTATAATTGTACAGGTGGGATGGGAGAAGGGACCCAAAACATTATTTGCTGGCTGGGAAGAGTCAAAATTTTGTTCAAGTAACAATGTTATTTACTTGGTGCCTTTCGCCAGTCATAAGGTGCTCCTCTTACATCTTCATCACGTTTGTAGCCCCAGTCCACTAAACTTTGCACCAGCATATAAAAGTAACTGCCTGTAGACATCAGATAAGAGAGAAACAGAACAGTGAGAAGATCAGCGTTAGAAGCAGCTATCAGACACTATCGTGAAACAAACTAGTTCTGGAGGCATTATCTCTGATACTATATATAGACATGAAAACTGTAGTCTTAGTCTTTGACAATCTAGAAAGCTGCGTATTAAACAACATGAGTTATGCTTGCTGTCCCCTAACAGTGAGAGAATACCATCATTAAAACTTCTTACTAGTTGGCTGATCTATCAAACAAGTGTGGGAGCAAAACATGGCATACAGGAAACGGGTAAATTTTCCTCAGCAGAAACGTGTCTTACCCTTGAACTGTAAAGAATACAGCTCGGAATTACTACATCGGAGTCCTAGCTTTTGTTCATTGCCAATTAACTTCAGGTAGGGTATATAATGCATTCATAAAGGTTGGCCTGGACTTCACCAACATTTATTCTTGGAAACAAATGCTTACAGTGTACCCCAGGGCAAAATTCTGGGAACTACCTCAAAACTATTTTTCTGTCTATCAGGTAGTGGATGAAGACTTAAGTAATTGAACCTAATGCTTTAATAGCAAAGAACAGAAACATTTGCAGACTGGCCATATATTGAAAGATGTTACATATTACAAGCTTTCACTCATAGGATGTAAAAGTATTACCACTATTAAATGCATCTAGTAACAGCTTGAAAAATTAAGTGTCAAAACCTCCTATTGAACATGGCAGTCATATTGAAGTTTTGAGCAGAACCTCACTCATTAGTCTTGGATGCTTATCATATAGTCCCTGAAGTGACCATAGGCAATTTTAAACATGGCCCTGTTCTAGTTATAAGTCATCTAGTGATGATTGTTAAGCACATTACTGCCCTTTTGGGGATTGCTCCCTACAGAAAAGACAAAGAAATCCATGCTGTGAAGCATGTGAAGCTCAGTGCATTACTAACTATTAAATTACTTAAGTCTTCAGCCACAGCTAACAACAACTCACAAAAGCTTATTAGATTCAGTGTTTTCTGAAAGATGACTTCTACAAAAACACTAAACAAAAAACCTGCAAACAATTAATGAAGAAGTCTTTTGCAGCAAAAATGTAATTATATGATTATTCCCACGCTGACAAAAGACAGGGAACTACAGAATGTGGTACCATATCTCCCAAGCCCATTAACTCATTCTTAAGGACAAAGAACATCTTACTCAGAACTAAGCTGAAATGAAGTGGTTTTGTTTTGTTTTTGCTTGTCAAGCTTCAGTCAGAATTTTTAACTCATCTCATTTTCCAAAAGTGTCCATCTTCAAAGTACCTACTCAAGTTTCATCCAGAGAACTTAAATTTGGCACAAGACTAAATAACATGGAATCGTCTTGTCTCAGTTTATCAGGCCAAACAACAGACAAAACAATACAATGCAATGGAAACACTTAAAAGCAAAATGAGCCATGTGCTACCCTACTACTACAAAAAACACCAACCTGGTTTTCTACTTCTAAACAGAACTGCAATTTGAAATCACATTTCAGTAGCTTGTTGTATAAAGACACACTAGAAAAATCCTACAAGTGACAAAGCACTTCAGACACAACTTGTACATACCAACACTCCTTTTACTTGGGTCAAGGAATTCCAAGGAAAATGTCTGCCCAAAACCTGGGACTCTGATATCCACTCCATCTGGTGGTTCTGTGGTCTTACTTGTTCGATTATATACCAGCCTGGGGGGGGGAGAGAAAAAAGAGAGAAAAACATGAAACGTTGTATTACCACAACTCTGAGCTACACTGGGTCTTACATTCTGAGAGCAGTAACAAGAACTTTAAGTGCTATTACCCAGAAAGAAAAAAAAAAAGCAGATACAATAAAGAGTTACACAATGCAAACAATCATTTTAATTAGTTTAATGGTTTACATGCAGATTCTGAGACTTATCTTCTCTATAAAACTGAGTATACAGAATTGCGGCTGAACTTCAACTTTAGAATATAAGGTACTTTATACAGTTCTATACCATTTCACTTTGCATCAAGTCACATAATGGAGAAAACTTGTCAAGAACATAAGAATGCAGTAGTAGAAAATAATACCTGTAAAATCAGATATCAGAAAAATTCAAGAAAAAATAATTCATTTCTGTTTAACTAGAAAACCAATACCAGCATAACGAAATACTTGATATTTCTTGACTAATAACAGTTGGTACCTCAGGAAACACACAGAGATACTGAGTGTTTTATAGATACTTCTCAAATCAGTTTGAGATATGAAGAATTTGGAACATTGAGTCAGGGTTGGTTTTTTTTTTTTAATTATTGTTGTTGGGGTTTTGTTTGGTTTTAATACCATATCAATACAATTGCCATTTCTGAATGCAAGTTTTTACCCCTAGATGGAGTCTTAGAATCTGAACTGATACTCAAATCTTCACACACCAAAAATATGTCTAACCTGTAAGGCATGTAGCAAGACTTAAAGCAGAGGTACAACTACACAACAGCTTGATATATTCACGTAAAGAGCAACATGCCAATACAGTATTTTTAAATTGCACAAGCTAAATATTTCTTGTTTTCATAGAGATACTTACATGATTTTTTATGGGAACATTAGTGAAGCAGATTGAACAATGAAATATTCTGGAAGCTTTAAGTTAGGCAATGTTTTAAACCAAAATAATTCTGGAGAGAGACTTCCAGACTGCCCTTGAAGGACCCCATGTGTCTCAGCTGCGCATGACACTGCTCTCTAACGACACACCGCCAGCAAAAGTGCAAGCTGATGTTCCTCCTGCCTGTCCCTTCTGTGCTGCCTGATGTACTCCTTCCCCCTTGCCTCATTAAAGCTTAACTCATCAAAAAAGCAGAAAGTGTTCTGCTTTAGATAAGCCTAGAGTTGTCTGGTAAGTGCCCAAAACAACACTGGGTAACTGGTAGGAGAGAAAGTGGAATAAACTAAGAACCTCTGCTTTTCATTGGTGATGAACAGCTACCTCAGATGCAACAGAGCCACATCTTCTGATTCATCCTGTTGCTCTACCTAGCAGAATTCCAAGTCATTTCTCTCACTGGTCTTGAATCAGAAAAGAAAGTTTAAGGCGGCCATTCTGTACAAGGCATGTCAGGCTAAGGAAAGGAGGTAACTGCGAAGAGCAACATTTCTGGTCTTACCTGATATTATCAATCCAGCAGTCAATGATGACAGGCAGAAGCAATTCTAAATTCAGCCAGAGTGTAAAATAACTGTCTGTCTTCTTAGAGCAGAGATAGTGCACTACTGATGGCTTATCTAACTTTGCTTCCAACTGATTGCCTAAGTCCCCTGGAACTGTAAGATATAAAAAGGAGACACTTAAAATTAAAGTGTATAACATTTTGCATTCCAATATACACATCTTAATACTGTAGCCCTCATGTGCAGCATCACTGCATCCAGAGATACCATTAGGTTTTGTAACTGGATAAAAAAAATATTACATAAGAACCAAGTACCACATGCACATTTTCCACTGAAAATATTTAGATTTTCAAAAATCAATAGCTGAGGAACCACCATGTAGAATAATTCTGGATCACCAGTTCATAACTTCAAAGAGCAGACTATATAGGAACAGGTCACATTAGGCCATGGGTATGAAAAACAGATGGTCTCAGACATTATCAAAATTAACTGTGTTTTAAAGTGCGAACTGCATCTTTCTGAAAGAATTTTTTCTGCAGAGTATTACAACTGCACATGCAAGTCTTCCCATTCTCCTTAAACAGTTGCCTGCAAACTATCAATTTGACATAAAAAAAGTGAAAAGTGAAAGCAGCTCTATTTATGTTTTTTTATTTTCACTTCTTCACCTCCAACCACACTTTCACCACACAAGATTTAGTTGGCTAGCATAATAATCCAATACATAGTTTCCTGTCTTTTCCATTCAGGTTTGGATGCAACAACAGTTTTAATGTTCACTTTCTTTTTTTGATACATTATATCAGTAATACTTGGAGGGAAGGGTCTTGTATTTGCACCCTCTCTGAAGTGCACTGTTCTTAAGGCATATACTAAGTGCCAGTAGTCCTTTGATGAAGTTTTGTTTTCCTTTATTTATTTTAAACACTAGATGGAGACAGGAATATTATTTCTAAATTAGAACCAAGCTTAAAAAAACGATCTTCAAATTTTCAAGCTTCCAATTTTCAGCAGCAAGTTTCCAGAGAAACTTCTTACATTCTGTATTCTGTTAATTGTTTTTTCCTCAAGAACCAGAAAGGCAAAGATACTTCAGTAACTGAGAAGTTTCTCTGTATTAGAAAAATTTAGGAGTTAGGCACTTCTTAAGGGTTCCCCCTGCCCCTTTCAGCTCCACACACCCCCACCTTTTTTGGGTGTGCATAACTGTATCCTATTTACTTGTCAATATTTAATTTTGAAGTTCTTTTAATGCAGGCCTACCCATACGGTTCCTTCCCCCCTTCAGTAAATTATTTAATCAAAACAGTTTTAAGCTCTATAGAACACTGATTCTTTGCAATGGCTTAAAGAAAGAGATAATAACCTTTACTGGAACACCTAATTTACCTGGACCCCTAGATACGCTTTCAGAGAAACACTTATTGCAGAACTGAAAAAGGAGAGAACTTCAGACTAAATACATACCTGGACAAACACAGTCTTAAAGCCTTCAACCACTGCAGGTTATGTCCCACCACAAAAGATACACATCAGGATTTCTTTATTAACTACCCCTACTTTCTCGTTAGGTTTTTAGTGTTCTTATTGCTGCAGTCTTAAGTGAAACGTTAAAAGACCCAGTAGCTGACCACAGTTTATTTTAGGTTATATTTCAAGGACTCTGATATACTGGAAAGCATAGTAAGCGAGATTATAGTATTGCATCACACCCTAGAAAGAGTTTACTGAAGTTCAGTCTTGTAACCTCATGAAATGCCGTTTAGTTATTGCTTATTGAACTATAAGGCAACAGCTAGTTCCACAGTCTCGTGCCTGTGCTGTATCAGCGCTCTTAATTAGAAAAGGAACAGAATGTAATTCTATTTATATCAATCATTCATGGCTGGCCAGTTTCAGTAGCAGACCTGCCAAGGACAGAACAGGTTGATTTTGTCTTCAGTGTCAATGCAAAACAAAGTAGAAGAGTGACATTCTGTTCTACCCTGGAATCTCATTTTCTTGGGTAAAAATCAAGTTCTTCCAGCAAAGATACCTTTCAAAAACGTTAGATAAACATCTGGAGTATCAGAGTTTTAGGAACTTGCTGAGGCTTCCAAACAGCACTGAATCATAAGCACTCCCGCTCAGAGTAGGAAGACTCACAACTGAAGAAGTTTAAGATTATAATCAAGATACATTTATCAGCAAGAGTACTGAAAGCAGGAAACTGTACGAAGTCTCACTTAGACTTAATGGAGTGATCTTAGATTAACTGCAAGTTTAATTTAGTTAAGACATTTTATCCTCAAGCTTCTTGAGGACAGAGGCTGTGCTCCTGTGTCCAATTCAGAGCAGAAGATGAGAAACATTACACATTAATTTTTACCCAAGGGATGACAAAGAACAAGTTGAAAAGTGGTAATTAATTTAATTCTAAACAAAAGATAAGGGGCAAGTTCCACCTGTGCCAAGATACAGTACTGCAGTTAAAAAATAAAGTCACATGTACAGATGTGATGTCTGTTTGTTTATAAAGCAGGGATTAACAAAAAAGTTTCAGGTTTACATTTCCATATTAACAGCGAAACTACTAATCACCAATTCACAACTCATGTTTTATTTTCCGAAGTGTATTCGGCAGGCTGAAGAGGGTTCATGATGAAGCTATAGGGAACAAAATGTAAATTTTGATTTTTCAGATTATGGAAAGAAACATGCAAGATCTTCAATCCTCACCCCACCCAATTTAAGTGTTAATGATTTACATTTTGGCTGGAGAACTACTTAGTGGCTTTTTGATAAGTTACAGGTTAAAAAAAATCACATTGAAGATTAATTCTGTAGGATAAGGACATACCTTTCTGAATTTTCTGTGATGGAATTTGAAAGCAGTAGAAAAACGTATTTCCTTTTGCCATACAAAAGACCATACACAGAAAGCATCTGTGGGCAGGGTAATCAATAAGTAATTCTTCTCCTCATCCTCTCATCTACCAGTATCTGTAGTTTCTAAGCCTTTTTGCTGGGAACATTATAGAAAGTTCTTACTTTTTAAAGCCTGCAGACTGACCCCATAAATGCACAAAATAACTGACAAGTGAAGTTCTGCAAAATACATCAGCACTGGTTAAAACTGGATGTCCAAGAAAAGACCTCAAGCAGAACCCTTGCTTCCCTTATTTGCAGTTGTGTAATATGCGTATTGACTTCTGAACTGTGTCATTTGGAAATACGATGAGATTTCATATCCAGCAGAAAAAATTGTTTTCATCAGATTTGATGATGTATCAGTTCTAGCATATTCTCATTTTTCACAAAGATGGTAATCCCAACAGAACTCATTCTAACACATCGATGAGCCCAATTCACTTCCAATATTATAGTATCCTTTGCCTTTTTTTTTTCCTCAACTGCCATGACAAAACTGGTAGATCTCCTTCTGGGATGTGTTCTTGTTTGATTAAAATGTATGCAAAGCACATTTACAAGTTTCATTTGAGAGTTTAAAAGAGGTCACAGACCTTTCCAAGTGTAGGAACTACAATAGCAAGCTTTAGGATACACTGGTACTCCTGCCTATCACTAGCCTTAAGTCTTAATGACTGATTCACAGTTCCCAGCAGAAGACAATAAGCAAATTGCACCCTGGAAAGTGACTTGCCTTAATACTCCTGAGGAAACAAAGAGAAAAGAACATTCAACAAAAGCCTTAAATAGGGGGATTTTAAATTTCATTTGGAAAAAAGAAAATATAAAAAATATAATCCCTATATAGTAAGGGGGGGGGGGGGGATATGCTATTGTTTGTGTGGCAAAGAGGCCATCAATTAGTACTTTTTTTACTACTTTTATCTGAAATGCAAACGCCTTTGGATATATAGCAACTATCTTAACTTTTTTACTGGTATAATTTCCTCAAATAACTGACATCATCTTTTTGGTTCTATAAATTAGCCTTCCTTCAAAATGAACCAAGTTTTCTGGAAAATTAATTTTAAACTCTGACCACAGTTCTCTAAGGAAAATGTCTCAAAGTAGGCAGACTCAGTGACAGACTGCCACAGAAAAGGGTTGTGTTTAAAATTAGAAACAAGAAAGCAAACAACTTCTCACATGATACTCCTAGATACCTCAGATCACATGAGGCATAAACATTTAAATCACTCCTGACATCTAGCCAGCTGACCATACAAACACGCACACCTCAATTAGCAGTCAGCAGGA